TGACAACCACATTGACCCGGCTGGTTGGTTCCCATGGGATGGAGATTTCGCACTTTCCACATTGTACTATGGAGAGTATGCGAATAATGGGCCTGGAGCGGACACTAGTAAGAGAGTAAACTGGAAAGGGTTTAAAGTTATAAGAGACTCAAAAGAGGCTGATCAGTTTACTGTTGCCAAGCTTATCCAAGGAGGATTATGGCTAAAGCCCACTGGAGTTACTTTCCAAGAGGGGCTTTGAGTTGATGTTTTATTCTCGTAATCTGTGTTGTGTTACGAGTTATGCTCTGTTTGAGTTTGATGTCTTTCTCTATGTTTTATGGACTTAGCCCCAATAACATGTTCTGTTTCATGAAGTTATAATTAATAGTAATAAAATCTCGTATGTGATGATCACGAGATTGCGGCAGTAATCAGCTTCCAAATGTGCGTATACACACATCTTCATAATTAAATTGGTGTGTAAGCACATTGGTCAGTTTAGTACTTTTGTGTTTTGGTTTTAGCTGCATCGATCCGTAAACAACATGCAGTGGCTGTGTTTGTAATCTTGCATGATAATAGTAAAAAAATTCACGGTGAGGAAAGCTTATGAGAGTTAACATCAGACATAGTAAATTCAATAAAGCTGTCTCACTTGTGACCAAAACTCTTGTTTCAACGGTTCATATTCACTTCACAAAAAATACTTGTAATCTGTACCAAATCAAGACTAGGTAACTAGTGTTTTGGTCTCATCCTTGAAAATTCTTAATCGTAAACCACAAAACAAAACAAAAATAGTTTCCACAAATAAGTAAACTTCAACCAGTCACCTAATTCTATAATCAATTTCAACTCTTAAAATGAATAGTAATCAAACAGAGATGCTAATGCTTAAACTTAGCTTATGGACAGTCTCTACGGCCAACTTAACCAGAGACGTAAATACCCATCTCATGGAGCTAACGAATAGCCACAATTCAAGGGTATAAAAGTAATTAACCATAAACCCATACTTTTCCCTCCCTCACCTCCTTCCTTACCCTATAAAAAGCCCTCTGCTTCCTCTGCCTCTTCCATCTTCACAAGAAACAAAAACGGCTCTTCTCTCTCTCTCAATCAAAACCCAATCTCCAATCCAAAGTCCATTCCTTTTGCTCTCTCCCTCAAAACCCACCTCGTGATCATCGCCTAAACCAATAACCCAATTGTTAATTTCCCCTAAAAACATGATTTCTTCGATTAAACCGGTTTCCTCCTCCTTAACCGCAATCGCCGCCGTTAGGCGGCCAGTTCCGGCAAAGCTCCGATTTTCTCCCTTACCCATCATCAGAAACTTCGAGAACTCCCCTCTCTGCGTCTCATCTTCCCACAATCTCTCGACTTTCTCTCTGTCCTCCGCGGAGAAACAGAGGAGTGGTGGTTTCAAGGTTGGAGCTTACGAGGCGGATCGGTCTCAGCCGATTGAGATCGGTGTGGAAGTTCCTGGTGAACAGTCTGGGCAGAAGGTTAAGATTGGGATCTACTTTGCGACTTGGTGGGCATTGAACGTTGTGTTCAATATCTACAATAAGAAGGTTTTGAACGCGTTTCCTTACCCGTGGTTGACTTCGACGCTTTCTCTCGCTTGTGGGTCGTTGATGATGCTCGTCTCGTGGGTCACTAGAGTCGCTGAAGCTCCTAAGACGGATCTTGATTTCTGGAAAACTCTGTTCCCGGTAAAGACTTTAGCTTTCATTAGTGTTTATGATTCGGTTTCAGTTTGGTTATTTCGGTTTATTGGTTATAGAAATTTATGAATAGAAAATTTAGTTCGGTTATGGCTAATTTCGGTTTGGTTTGGATAACAAATTTGAAATTGGCTTATATAAAGGAAACCGGTTCTAATTTGGTTTCGGTTCGGTTCCGGTTTTGTGGGTAGTTTCGGATAATATAGGCTATTGGTTTCCGGTTCGGTTTTGGTTTTCGGTTTGACACGGTTGGGTTCTTCGGTTCCGGATAGTAAATGTTTGGAACTTGGAAGCTGAATCCTCAGAATTTTCTTGATTAGGGTGTAATTACTGATGGAATATGGTGATGCTGGTTTTTGATTGTTTAGGTGGCGGTGGCACATACTATAGGACATGTAGCAGCAACTGTGAGTATGTCCAAAGTGGCAGTATCCTTCACACACATCATCAAGAGTGGTGAACCAGCCTTTAGTGTTCTCGTCTCAAGGCTCTTCTTAGGAGAAACTTTCCCTCTACCTGTTTATCTATCCCTCTTGCCAATTATAGGAGGATGTGCTCTCGCTGCTGTCACAGAGCTCAACTTCAATATGATCGGTATTTAGAAACATCCCTCTTGTGGTTTAATAAGGTGTCTGAGTCACATCTTATGCAAGATGTAGATGTAATGGTGTTTCTTGGTCTTTTTGCAGGGTTTATGGGGGCGATGATATCTAACTTGGCGTTTGTGTTCCGCAACATATTCTCAAAGAAGGGGATGAAAGGGAACTCAGTGAGTGGGATGAATTACTACGCTTGCTTGTCTATGATGTCTCTTCTCCTCGTCACTCCTTTCGCCATTGCTGTAGAAGGTCCTCAAATGTGGGCTGCTGGTTGGCAGAACGCTGTCTCTGAAATTGGACCAAACTTTGTGTGGTAATGTACTATGATCCGTTGATCTAAGACCAAAGTAAACAAGTTATGTCTGGTATCTGATTCTAAATGTTTGTTTTCAGGTGGGTAGTGGCACAAAGTGTGTTCTACCATTTGTATAATCAAGTCTCATACATGTCTCTCGACCAGATTTCTCCCTTGACGTTTAGCGTTGGAAACACTATGAAGCGTATCTCAGTCATTGTAGCATCGATCATCATCTTCCACACACCGATTAGACCTGTCAATGGTCTAGGTGCTGCCATTGCGATTCTTGGAACTTTCATATATTCTCAGGTAAAACAAAACAGAAAACACTTTTTACACAATTATGCAGAGTACTCTCTTTGAGACAAACTAATAGTCCAATGATCATGAATTTAGAGCTATTTGGTTCTTGTGAGAGTTTTGGTTAATGATGTTCATTTGGTCGTTTTAAATCTTTGAACAGGCAAAACAGTGAGGGGTGTTTGATGCACCAAGACACTGAGAGCAGAGGACTAAAGAACATTACTGTGAAGATCTCATGAGAGTTAATGTTCTGAGCATAATAAGGAGTTGGAAGATCAACGGCTTAAAATCTTGGCTTAGTGCTAAGAAATGTATAATTTTAGTTTAGCTTCAAAAGTTAATACAAGGCCCAATAAACATATCATATTTGTTTTCCTTTCATCTTATCCATCAAGAATATGTTATTCATATCCTCCTTTGTGAATTGGTTTTCTCCAGATGAATCATTGTAAATTCTGGAAACATATTGAATGCCACGTACCTACGGACGACAAACATTAGTGTTGATATACGTGTAGACTATGCATAGTCTAAAATGAGATGTATATATTTTAGAAGGCGTAGCTAAGCTATATCTTTGAGAAATGAGATGAAAAATAATTGACCAATAAAGGCATTAACACTTGGCCAACTAACTTCCACCTGTCTCTATTAATTCTACAGAGAGTAGTAATAAATACTCAGAGGCTTTTACTGTCTACTAACACTGATCAGCTCCTATACTACAGATAGGGGTGGGCACGGATCGGATATCCGGGTTTTTTAAAGTATTTGTGATTTGCTTCGAATGTTACGGATATCTAATTTTGGTATTTGCTTTGCTTCGAAAAAATACGGATATCCGAAAAAACGGATATCCGGAAAATAAATAGATATTTGCGGATATTTACGAATATTTGCGGATATTTACGAATATTTACGGATATCTCATTCATTTTAATTAGTACAAATAATCTTAAGATTTTGATACAAATTTGCTTTGCAAAAATATTTTTTTGCATGATATATGAAATAAAACTTAAAAGAACTAGTGAATTTATAGATTTTGTAATATTTTAAAGTTTAAGTTACAATTATAATAACACAAAATTTAAGACAAAAATATAATTG